ATCTATATGTTATTTTTCATTTGTTTTTTTGTATTGACAGAATGTGATAGAGATGCATAACTACTTAACAAGCATGTACGAAGCAGGAGATGCAAGATCTGCTCTAATTGCTATGGTCCAGAAACTTCAACATGCCAAAAATGGTGTTGACATTGTGTCCGAGAGCCGAGTATGTTCATTTTTTTGTACATTATTATCCATTTAATATTTTATTTACAAATAGTTATATTTTTCATCATGCTATATATATACAAATAAAATATATTTCTAATATTCCACCTGATTCAGATACGAACCCATTTCGCAAGACCTAATTGGAGGAAGGTTTTTTCTGAATTGTCAAGCAAGCACGAAACTTCTCGCATAGGTACGTAAATATTATTTCTCCTAATTTCCTTAAAACATTCTTTAGTACTGTTGCTAACAAAATGTTTTAGTGTATTTTCTAATTAAATATCTAAAGTGTAGTTCTCACACCATCTACGAAACTTAGCGAATTTTCATGTATTTACCTTGAACCTTTTTTTTATATTCAAATAGTTGCATATTAAGCACTTTAATGAATATTTACATTCTTAGCAAAAAAAAAAAAAAATTAAGCACTTTTTTTCTTGCATACTTAGTATATTCTGGTCTTACTTTTTTTGGAATTTTTTGTACTTTGAATGATAAAGATATCTAAATTTTAGTAGTTCATTTGGTAAGGAAAATTTTCAAAGATTCAGTTAATCTTTCTTTGGGATGAAAAATCTAATACATTTAATTTGAAATTTAATGTACATGATTTTGTTTGAGATTAATTTTAATTTGTATTGTTTCAGGTGTGTTCTACTGTGGAAGTCCAACGCTTGTTCGACCGCTAAAATCCCTTTGTCAAGAGTTCAGTCTCGAGTCGTCCACCCGCTTTACTTTCCACAAAGAGAACTTCTGACTTTTTTCATAAAAAAAATTTTGGTTAATTAAAACAACAAATTTTGAGTTCAGTTATTCACTTAGTTTTAAAGATAAGTTGTAATTATTGTGTGATGTATAGTCACTGTCTGATAGATAAATCTCAAAATAGAATCATTTTGGGGACATTTTTAAAAGGAGAATATTTGATCAAATACCCTCAATATTATTTGAATTTATATAATTAACACTATTTAAAAAAAAATTGGAATGTACCTTCTATTAATTTAAATGACAATTAATTAGTCCTTAACTGATATCTACACAAAAAATTGAATGATTGATTTGATTTGATGAATCTTCTACACAAATTTTTACATGGTCTCCACTAATGAAAACATAAATTAATTTAAAACAAGAATTTAGATATTAGATTAAAATATAATTCAATAGTTTAATTGGACAAACACAAGCTTGAAAATCGATCAAAATAATTTATAAACCAACTTAAAAAGATATCAATATATTAAATAAGTTGACTATAAAAAGATTTACCAGTTAAATTATAATATGATTTTTTTAGTTAGTCGAATAGATGAGGAAAAGTAATAGCAGTAAAATCTATAATTAGAAAAAATAAGAAAACAATCGATATTTAATTTCTCGGGTGCTTAAAGAGACGGTCTTAGAGATGAACGAGAAAGATTCGTACAATAACTTACATGAGATTCAACATTGAGAGAACCTAATAGTGATTCCAGTGGGTGTCCTCATTGTTCGACGCTGAAGGAAGAATCGGTGGTACTTGAGAGGTCAACTTCTCCTATGCAATATCAAGTTTCTGAGACACAACAGTCCCAGAGATTTGAATAAGGGCAAGCAAAGCTAACTTTAGGTTTATAAAAAAATACAACAAATTGTTCAATATTAAATGAGTATAAGCTAACCATTATATACAAAAGTTATAATTTGTCAAGTGACTCTTTTACTAATTTTTGCGCTAAAGTTTTTCTTGGATCAAGTCTTCATGCGTAACCTTCAATAAACCAACACCGAAAAAAATACTACATGTCAGAAATACAAAAGAAACATGAACAACTATAATAAGACAACAAAGATTGGAGATAAATGCATAAATAGGACAATTTATGTCAGAAACCTGTTGAATATCGCTTTGTAATACTTGGAAGAACTTTACAAAAGGATGGCAGGAAAGCAAAGCATGTGGACTAACATTGAGGAAACAAGAGTTTTTGGGGTTTATTAATCCCCTCTTACACATGAACCATTAGTAACAGTTGGGTCTTCCTATTGATGGTTTGTGATTTGTTACCCTTGGATTAAGTACTAGATCTCTCATGGTTGTCCTTAGACAGGACTAAGCGTGATGCCCAAAGTCTTCACAAGTATGACATTTTGGAGGAAGCCAAGGATAGGAGACAATAATTTCAAACTCCCGTCCATTGGGGAAACCATATATGAGCTATGTGGGTAGCTTTTTTCAAAGATTCACTTCAATTAACATTTTTGCAACCTTAAATGACTCCAACTCCTCTTGCAATTCGACTTAGCTTCTCTCATTGAGAAGAAAGTAGGGAATCCATGGAATTCAACCATCACATGGGTGAAGTGAGAGGGGGCATTTCTTGTGTAAAATCCGACGAATTGTTTTAGCTATATGTTGTAATGGCTTTAATTTAAGTTTTGGATCATAAAATTATAAAAGTAAATTTGTCTAATATTTGGTTTTGTAACTAGGAACATAAAATTAATATATAAAAATATTTTGAGATACTTTTATTAATTTTCTAAGTCTCATAAGAATTATTTTACAAGTCTCCTGAAGTTATTTTATGTTCCAATCTTACATCACAAACATTATTATTGTAGTAAAATAGAGAGGAGTATCAAAAAAACAAAAGCAGAGATGAGTATCAAAACAAAAAAAAATAGACGAGTACGGTGTATCTTAAACCATGTTCGAAAATCTAAAACTGAACTCATATATAAAAACAACAACCTTCTCGTTCTTCCAAACCTGACCATAATCTAAACAACAACAACAACAAAGCGGTGGAGTTTCGTCAAAATGTCATAACATACAATCGCATATATATTAGAAAGTAACAATCTCAATTCAATTTTATTACCTTATCATATCACCAATATCACTGAGTCTTATACTCTAGAGCTATTTGCCATCGATGTAGTACCCTCAATTCCATCATCAAAGTTCTCTTCATGTCACCTAAAATTTGAAGATATAAATCAACAAATCAAAAGAAATTAATCATAGATAATATGGACTATTATTTTACCTTCTAACTCATCAAAACCACGCATCCAACTTTTAGTACAGAGCAAGGCTTGAACATTTCTAGGACGGAGGCGGTTTCTGTAATGCTTCAAAACCCGACCTCCAATACTAAACGATGACTTTGTTGCCACTGTGGTGATTGGAATGTTAAGCACATCACAAGCTAGAGAAGCCAAATCACTATAGTGTTGCCCATCTCCTTTCCAATAGAACAAAACCTCCATGTTTGTAAAAGACCTCAAATCTAGCTTTGGATCATCCAAATAATTTTGGAATTTCGATTTTGTGTTGTCTGAACCAATTTGTATGCTCATCTCAAGCTCAAACTCATCATGTATGATATAGACACTAGTTAGACAACTATGATAATTATAATACATATAACGAATGAAGAAAAATACTTACATAATTCGGATCATCCTCTGGTGGTGAACCAGTAAGAAGTTCATGTGGAGTTGGTGTTGTTGAGAAGGTGGAGGAAGTCTAAGCTTTTTCCATGTGTTCTTTATAAAGATCCTTCAAATTTATTCATAGACAACTCTATAGCTAATTCATACAAACCCTCTAACAAAAAAAATAGTTTTTATAACACAATAATTCTACCAATGGCAATCTTCAAATTCAAATGTCCAAATCAATGTCAGAACAAATAAATATGCCAACCCCAGTGTGGTCGGTCACTTGGATTTTTGGGTTGTTGCCCACTTATCATTATTACCTCATGTCACTAAGGTCACAAATTAGAAATTTAATCACAAATAAAAATACCTAAGAGGACATACAAAAATCAAATAAATTTAACCTTAGTTTTAAGAAATATGTGTTACTTGTTATACATTTTTTAAATTATACTCATAAATTTTTAGTTATATGAAAATTATTTTACTTGTTATACATTTCTTGAATTTATTACTTTAACAAATGTGATTGGTCTACTAGTAGATTGCCATAACTATTTATTCATCAGTAAAAGTGTAAGAGAAAAATGTTTAAAAAGTTAAATCTGTATATAAAGTGGAACCTATAATTCTATTTTTTAAAAATATACATACTAAAAGGCCTACAATGTTTTGAAAACTATTTAACTCGTCAAATATACTTTTAATAAAAAAAAATTGAACATGGTTTATAAAATAGTTTTGAGACTCCGTGTTTATTTGGAAGAGTGTGAGGAAAAAAAATATGCCATTTCACAATTACATATACGTATTCGAATATAACATGTGTGTGAAATTTTAGACTTCGTAAATGTACCAGACGGAAAAAAGAAAATTTGTTTAGACTTACCAAACAAATATATATATAATAACTGTGAGAAACTATCAATCAAACAACTATAAATTAAAATCTAAATTACTTCACCAAAGAACTATACTTTGCTAAATAACTTTTTTCAAAGAACTTTAGCTAAGACTACATCTTTAAATAACTTTGCAAGAGAATTATGCACAAAAACGTTATAAAGTATATGAAACTATGCATATACCTACTTCTTTGTAGAACTGACAAATCGTTTTTTTTATGAAGATTGGTTTGATAAAAACTTATATATACAAGCCTAACAACAGAGTTCATATATGTTTGGAGAATTAATTTGGAGTTTTATTATTAAAAATTAGCCTAGATTAATATTTCATGATCTTCAGGTTTTATCAAAATCAATTAAAAAAATAAAAATTCAACAAGAATTAATCTCTCACGTGGGCTAGCTAAAGTATTTCCATTTTTCTTAGTGAGAAAAAAGGAAACATAACAGAAGTTTATAAATAATCCTTTTATCACAAACTTAGAGAGAAAGCGAGAGAAGAATGGATATTGATTCTGAGATTTCAATGTCTTCTTACTTCAAACGATATGGTCAGGTCAAATTCAAAGATTTCTCAAACTCACCTCTCAAAAAACCTAAATATTCACCGACGACGAGTGTTATTGAGATTTCTGATTCATCGTCAAGCAACAACTCCATGATCCCTCCTCGTCCTCAAAACCCTATTTTCACTGTGAAACTCTCTCCGATCATTCTCCGTCTACGTCGTTGTTCGAGGACCATTAAAAAGAAGAAATTTACACAGCCTTTGAAAAAGAAGAAGAAGAGTAGTACTAAAAGTCTCAAAGAGGTAAGCAGAGGATCATTCAACGCCGCTGTTCAGAAACATTCCACCACCGTAACCCGCCACGGAGGAGTTAAAAAGATTTCGTCTTGGGTGAAATCTAGGTTACTTGGGGAAGGGGGTTACGGGTCTGTTTACCTAGCGACGAGTAAAGACGACAGATACAAAACAGAGAGAGCCATCAAAAGTGCAGAGCTTTCAAAGGCTTCGAGTCTTATGCACGAAGCAAGGATCCTAAAACGTTTACAATCTCCGTTCGTGATTAGTTCCTACGGCGATGAGATTGCACGAGAAGGGACAGGTCATGAATATAACTTAGTTCTCGAGTATTGTTCTGGACAGTGTCTAGCGGATTTGATCGAAGATAATCACGGAGGGTTGTCTGAGTTTGATGTGAAGCAATTCTCTAGAGATGTTCTGTCTGGTCTGAGTTACATTCACAGGAGAAACATTGTTCATTGTGATATCAAACCAGACAATCTCTTACTCAGCCCTGTTGATCACCGGTTTAGGTTTAATGGGTATCTGATTAAAATTGCAGATTTTGGTTTATCAATGGAGAAAGGTTCGGCAGAGTATGGGAATGGATGTGGTCATATGAGAGGGACAACTAGGTACATGGCTCCGGAGTTAATAGGCCATGGGGTTGTTGATTTTGGTGTTGACATTTGGGCGTTTGGATGTTCTGTTTTGGAGATGCTAACCGGGCAAATGGTTTGGGGAGAGCATGGTGATTTGGTTCTTGATGATTGGGTTAAGCTCATCGGTCACAGTGATCTCATTCCTCGTATATCGAGTCGGTTATCGGAAGAAGCTCAGGATTTTTTGAGGAGATGCTTTATTAGAGAGCCCAGTTCAAGATGGAGGATCAATGAACTCATGAATCATCCGTTTCTCTATTCGGATGTAGATTTTTCTCACAACGGTTTTGTTTATGACTGATTGATGTTTAAGTTGAGTTTAAACACTTAAATTGTTAACATTGAGTTCTGTTTTTGTAGTATTGGTAAATGTAATATTTTGTAGTATTGGTAAAGTATTAAAATTGCTGTTGATGGATTCATGTTGAGTTCTGTTTCATTATTAGTTTACAGTTGCAGAATCAAGTATATGAATAATTTTGTACAAAGAATATTATATAACTAATCATTGCAATGTTGTGTGTAACAAAACTACAAATGTAAAAGCCTTTGTAGAAAGCTGATATGCATCAGGTGGCTCAAATATTATGACCTTTCTTATGAAAGCTCTTCCCCACCAAACCTCAAATGCTATTTGAACATTTGGACATTCTTCATCAGAATCACCTGTTGTTGTCTCAACGACAATGTCAGTACTCAGTATCATTTGGCTGAGTCCATCTTCCACTACTTTCTAGTCCACTGATCTCGACAATGTCCTTCTCATCCACCCAAAAACATCCTGCAACGCCTCTAACCTTGTCTTCAGAACCGAAAACCGAATGTCCCTACTAAAACACACACACACAAAGGATGCAGCAGAAAACACCAATTTGGTGATTTGATGAGTGTTTGAGTAAAAATATTGATTCTTACTAATTTGAGTTTCCATGGAAATAGGTATATGCCAATGATGGAGCTTGGTGTAGTGAGTGACATGTGTTTGATATCAAGAAGAAAGCTTTGAAGAAGCTGTTTAAGCAACAGGTGAAAATATACATTTCAGTACTATCTTTGTCTTTCGTTTTAACTCACATGAGCTGTGTCTTTCTATGTTCAGAGTTCCTATCGAATCAAGCTTTTATCCTCGTACAAGGAAATGGTGAGTGTGACGATGCTAAATCTTGTAAATTTGGGAAATTTATTCTCTTGTAATTTGGAATCTATAAACAAAAACTGTAGAAAAATGCAGGTAGCTCTTGTTGTTGAGATGGTAAATGCAAGCAGATCTCTGAGATCTCTTGTACAGTTTGATGATACTTGCCATGTTGATATGATCACAGAGAAGATGGCAGGGGAGCTTGTGGAGATGTTCAAACGCCAAGTAATGGTAAAGGTATTGTCTACTACTCCTAACTCCTGCATATATCTTAAACTCTAGATCAGCTTCTGATATATTTTTTTCTGGAAATTAACAGAGATTGCTCATAATGGAACTCATCTCTTTAAGCACTCAAGTTCCTCAACCATGGGGAATTTGATCATCTCACCAAATGTTCTTTATATTCCATGCAAGTAGCCGAGCCAGTTCTCCACAGAGTGAAAGAAAATAATCTCGGTATTTCCTCTATATCACATACCAACCAGCCAACCGCAGAAATTTTGCAGGTAAAATAGTCTGTTAGCATTATATCGTAAAACTTCAAATAGTTTTTCTCCTTCTACAGATTTACTTGATAACTTTGCTTGCAGAGGTAAACATCGACACTCGTAGGTAAGTATTAACATTTTCACCATTATCATTCCTGAGTTATGCTCTTTTGGGCACAAAGTGGATCTGATTAACCCAGTGTTGCGTATTTGTTACAGGGTGGATGAGATTTTAGCTTTGGCCGGGGAAGAAATTAGAGTCACCTTCTAGCGCTCAAAAGCTGTTCATAAGTTCAGCTTCTGGTTAACTTTCAATGACTTTAAACAAAGCATGACTGATTCTACAAAAGTACTCAATGACTTGAGAGAGAGAGAGAGAGAGAGAGAGAGGTCTTTAGAATCGTAGCTGTGTAAACAAAATTGCCACTTATTGCTATATTTTGTTTACTGGATTACCCTGTTGGGGTTACTGTACTGAACGATATTTCTTTACTAAAGTATACAAATGGATTTAACTTACAATGTTTGTGATGATGCATACAGTAATGCTACATATTTAGTAGAGGATCTCCCGCTTTTTGACAACGGAGGGCTTTACTGTTCTCAGGATTCCGACCAACTAACTCATACCCAACCAAAAATAGAAAGATTTGGGGCAAGAGATATATGAAAGCAAAGAATGGGGAAGATTGGCCAAAAAGTGAATTATATGGATCCATCAATAGTTAGAGAGAGAGACATTGTACCCTGTCTGGAATATTCCGAGGCATTGGAGCTACGGTAACATATCTTTGTGGGTTTAACCTAAGTGAATTCAAGGTCCGGTCCATAGATGAAGATGGTGGGTGGAACTTCGCAAAACGATTTATCACTGCAAACTTCTCTAGATCCTGGACTTCAACTCTCAAGTCTGGAATTGTAGTTCCATTTTCTAGCCTGCAAGAAGAACCAGATGTTCATGAGATCAAACCAGCCCAAATGAGTAGCCATTTCAAACTTGAATTAATTACAATAGAGAGCTGCGGGTTTTACCCTGCAAAGTCAGTTTCTAGTTTCCGTGTTCTACTAATGAAATCTTCAGCTGCTTTGGAGATGTATTGGTCACTGATTTTTTCAGTTTTCGTTGTCTCAGACAACCTACACAAGAGTGGATTGGTTTGTGTCAATAAACAACCTCGAGCTTTGAAAAATCTCTAGCATTAAAGGGATAAACAGAAAATATCCTTACGGGTTTGAATTGTTTGGGGGCAAAAAGCGCTCACTCCTGTCTATACAACTGGAGCTGCATGCATCTCCTAGTGCACCTCTTGCAGCAGTGTATGCAACAAACTCATAGTTTGAGCTAGCAGCTAAAGATATTACCCCAGCTGGAGGCGGGCTAAATAGTTCCTGCATGAGTTGTGTTGTATGTATAAGCCTTCTCTTTGATCTGATTGGTGGGCCATCCTCCAGTAAAGTCTCAAATTCCACCTGTGAGAACATAAGCCATCAACGTATTCAACAACATTGTACAAAGAGCAGCGAGAAAACATGTACTGAGGATACTCACTTTTTCAGCAAATCGATTAGTTGCTCTGGCCCAATTAATCTCTGTCTCGCTGTAAAGAAAATACAAGTTTAATATGGTAATAGATATGAAAAAATTTAGTAATATTAGTGCGCATAAGCTACACACCTGAGCGTCTTAAGCCTCTGGGAATCCTGCGTGACTTCTTTATTCCAAGATTGAAGTTTGGATGTGGCAGTTTTCCGCTTCTTTGGTTTATCAACATTCAGAAGCTTGTCAGTAGCACCATGAAGCAATGACTCAGATGAGGGAGTCTCCACTCCTGGTGCGGAGCCTGACATTTGCTGCATATTACACTGCTTCGACGATTGAACAGTATGTGTACCATCAACCGAACTCTCAACATTAGACGATTGTTCTCCTATTTTCAAAGGGGTAAATCTCCCTGTATCATTCATGGGTAGCACCAGTCCATTCTTGAAAGTCCCATATTGACTATACCAGGATGGAGCCATCTGAGGACTGATTTGCTGATCTGGTCCAGCCGAGGCTGCATGAATCCCAGAAATGTTTGTTTCCGAGGAATTCTCTGGCGACTGGTCCACCTTGTGAAGAAGCTCAAGCATAGTTTGCCTGCACAGGAAAAAAGATTCAGAAAGGCCATTGGAGAGCACGAAATGCAACCAATTAGGGAATATGAGCTACGTAACGACCACAGTCAGAATTACATCTCGATGAAAAGTGATGAGAACATATAGTTTAAGAGTGACATAGTTAGGTAACTCTGTCAGTTACTTGAAAAACTATCTATAAAAAGGTCACACTACCTAAATAACTTCACAAACGCATTCAAAGAGAGAATAGTTTAAGCACACATAAATAAATAAATAAAAAGCCTTTTTCCACCCAAAGAACAAGTACCTTGACGAAGCACTCTTCACTTGATTACACCTATCAACACTTCTGTCAGCTGAAGCAGATGTGCTAGGTGAGTTTTCTGAACCCATGCCATTAAAAGCCTCATTTGTGCAATTCAAGTCGTTTTGTGAAACATGTCCCTGCAATAGAGAAGCCAAAAGAATGTTCAGAGGGATTCGGATTTCTAAAATACATGTTCAAAAACCAAAGGAAAAATTTACCCTGTCAATTGGCATGTTCATAGCCGACTGACCAAGAAACTTTGGCTGTCCAAAATACCCTTGGTTTCCTACAGAAACCTGCTCCAATGTGGGTGGCAAATGAGAAACTTTTTCTTGACAAGACTCATTCGTGACATCAATATTACCCATGGGATGATACTGAAATTTGCGACTTATCGAGCGCCTACTACCGACATGACCATATTGTGTGTCTTTTCTCCCAGGCAACATAGAAAAATCACGGGCATTTACCATTTCATTTGTTCCAGCATTATCACTCGCATATGACTCAAGAATCTGACTGCCGTCTCTAGATTTCAGTTGAGGGATAGCCTTCTCCACAGAGTTATTATCAAAATGTTGTTGGATATTGCCCTGCACATCCCTAGAAGCACTAGAACCGTTTTCTGCACTGGCAATGCCAAATCCATAGCTTGCCCTTTGTGGATTTTGTGTGAAATGATTCTTCTGTTCAATCAGAGCAGCTACATTTGGATTAGAAGCAGCCTTCCAAATACCAAATCTATCTTCGATGCCCTCATTCTGTCGAACAGAACACAAATTATTCTGTTCATCAATACTTGAAGAATGAAATATATTACCAGCCATTTGACTAGGTTGAGCCATCGGCTTCTCCAACTGGCCATGATCTGAAAATTTATTTCCCTTGTCAGGCAAATGCTGAACAGCTGCTCGAGTGGAATCACTGTGGAATCTCTCACTTAGTGCATTTGAAGTCTTTGAATCACTGTGGGCTCTACTATCAGTATGAGAATTTGCATGTGGGACAGTATTGTTGTTAACCCATCCATGTACACCTGCGTCATCGCTGGATGTTTCTGCTACAGCAGATTGCATAAGAGCACTCCAACTCCCACTTTGCAAAGAGGGGCATGCATCAAATAGGTCAGAACTACTGGACATAAGATTTCCTTGCAAGCTCATATCGGTGCTGCTTCCAAATGCATCCCACAAATTGTCATCAGAACCAAACAAAATCTTTTCTTCAGTTGGATCTAATGTTGACGACTTCTGCAATGCATTTATATTTTCAGGCACTTTCATAAATGATTTTTCTGATGGACCAGAATCCTCCATCTGACAAAATTTCTCCTGCGCTGAAATGTTCCTCTCACGGGAATCATCTTGCTGGAAATTTTCAAAACTGGGCCTATTATTTGAATCTGGCACTGATGTCTGGGAGAACAACGCTTTCTCCTGGTATGTGGATCTAGGGAGCATTTGACTATCCTGTACGCCACCTTGATTGAGAAATGACGTTGGCTGATTAGTGAGAGAGTAACTCCTGTTTGCAGAACCATGCGGTGCAGCTAACCTGTTCATCTGGACGGAAGAAAAAGCATTTTGAGGTGCATTTGTCCCACTAACAGGCATACCGTACAAGGAAGGTCCAAATTGTTGAGCCATTAAGTTCGACTGCCCATGCTCAGGGGTAATCATGAGCCCACTGGACGAACCTTGAACAACTGGCGAGATGCCGCGATGCATCCAGTTTGTATTTCCTGTCATGAGATCTGGCCGCAACCAGTTACTAGACGCATTCTGAAGAGGGATGCCATTAATCATATGTGATTGGTTATCACTAGAGCGACTTCCATTGACTGCATTTATATTCAAAGAAATGAGCTGCCTGGCCCCTAGCTGTTGCTTTTGAAGTTGTTGTTGCATTTGATATTCATGCATTTGCTTAACCATAGCTTGCTGCTTCAGTAGTTGCATATCATTGAATGTCATCTGCTGCCTTGGCAAAGGCTGGAGCATGCCAGGGAGCTGTGTGTTTGATTGTTGTTGACCACCAAAGAAATCATAATTAACCGGAGATTCTCCCATCTCAAGCCTCATAGGAATTTTATGAAGTTCTGGAGTAAATCCCCTTGCTGATAACCTATCCCTACTAGATTCTACATCAACTCCCAAAAAATTTGCCCCATTCGGCATTGTCTGCAACCCAAGGTTCCCATGCGTGTAACCATTTGGGAGTTGCTGGTGTTCTTGCAATAAACTTCTCGAGAACTCGGACCTTATAGGCTGCTGAGTATAATTTAAACCATGGTGTGAATTTGAAGATTGATGACCACTCTCATGATCAACTGGAATAAGAAAAAAAAAGCTACGTTTAAAAACTAGCAATATATGTAGCTATTAATGATTAAAAGTTGTGGAATTCAGTGTCATAAGGAGACAAAATCAGTACCAGATTGTTTTGTGTTATAACTCTTCAGATTGGCAATAAGGGATGGGTCTATCTGCCTCTGGTGACCATTATTATAATTCGACCAGCTTCCGTCAACAACCTGAGACTGATTTTGGTCTTGGGATAGGCCTTGTTGTCCAAAGAAATTGTGGATCTTCTCCCCAAATTCGTTTCCAGGCATAGATTCAGCTCCTAAAGATTATTTTAAATTATCTGGTCTTTGAAAAGAAACAGAAACGAGTTCAACATTTTAAATTTTACAACGAATGTGTAAAAAAAAAAGGGAACATATAAATACCTCTTTCCCCAGAATTCATGAAACTGACATGCTTTGAATACTCATAGATTCTCCTGTTAAACAAACAAAACAGATACAAGTAAAACAAAAATAGTAGACATCAGAAAACAAAGACAAGCGCAGCAAAGCGAGAATTTAAACTCGATAACTGATGCAAAGCCCTCAGAGTACAAGGAACCTGAATCAGCATTGCGCAGCAAAGCGAGAATCTAAACTCGATAACTGATGCAAAGCCCTCAGGGTACAAGGAAACAGAATCAGCATTGTTTCCTTAGATTGAAAACCGTACACTGAATCAACATCTGAAACTCTAACATACTCAAAATCAACCTAATCAAGTAAACTTCCTTGAACAAAAACCAACTGAAAATTCCCATTTGACCGCTATAAAACACTCTGTGGCAGCTGAAAATTACAGAATTTTTTGGAAATCTCGCGAACATAGTCGAGATCAAAATTGCCGCAAACACAATCATCTCTCAACCTCAAACAAAACACTTGCTATCGACACGCTACAAAGAATTGGGTATAAAAATCATTTCTTTTTAAGATATATCTACAAGAATTAGGGTTTCCACAAAGGGAAAGAGATGTGAACTTACACACTTGTGAACAAATGGGAACCTGAAGAAAAAAAAGCTTTCCTTTGCTTTGCTTGCTCAATACCTAAGAATAAGTTAGGGTTTTCGAATTCAAGAATTAACGAAACCCAGGAGAAGAGAGAGAGAAAGTGATCGATAGCAGTGCTGAAAAAAATTCAACGACGAGCGCAGGAGCCAAACAGAGAGGTTCGGGTCCGGAGGCAAATCTGAGGCTCGGGTCCAAAGCAATTGGCTCGTCGATCAAACCTCTCTTTTCAGGTCAGAGGGTTTAGACGAGAGTTATTGATTGTAGTGTGGGCTGGGCCATTGATAACCAAACCCACCTAAACGTCAAACACGACATCGTATTGGTCCGTTTCTACATCATTAAATTGCAATAATTCATTATCTTTTTTTTTTTTTTTTTATATATTAATCTCCCATAATGGGCTGGGCCAAGGCCAATTACACAAATCCAGCAGTTACAAAATAGTGATATCGAAAAACAAAACAGAACCAGAAAAAGGGCTAGAACCCTGGTGATACCACCGGAAGCAGACAGTCGTTCATGAGCTCCGGCGGAAGCAAAGTCCACAACTTCACGACAGAGTCGAGGGACCGAAAAACAACGACGAAAGCATCCGATTTCCGTCACCGTTTCTCTGCCTCCGACCCACCAATCCGCCACAAACCTCCCAGAATGAGCAGCTATCCGACAACCCGCGTCTCCGTCTTCCGATCCCGTTCCTAGCAACCGGAAGAACTCAGATTTATCCCCCTTTCTCCAGATCCGTCAATCTCCAACATCACCAAGCAAGATCCCCTCCGATCCGGTCAGGAGGAAGCCAATCGCGGCAGAAACCGAGGTTGATGGCTCAAGCAAGCACTCAGAATCCAAAATCCACGGCAGCCTTCCTAGATCCAAGCGGATCTAGAGTTAACCTCCACGACTAATAGCGCACCCTCCATCTCCCCATCCGACTTCCGCCGCAGTCGCATCAACCAATAACACGGGTGAGCCGTGAGAAACCACCTGTTGCTTACCACCGGCGTCCTCAAACCGAGAGGCATCGTCAACAAAGCTTCTCCACCGCCTTATCGGACAACAACTGCATCAAAGGGAAGAAACCACAACCACCGCTAACGGATGAATGGGCTTACCTACCACTGCCTTCACGATGTAACCACCAAAGCCTACGATTCAGATCCAAAAACAAACAAAGTTTTTTTCTAGATCTGGTTTTTCTACAGTGAGGAGAGAGAACATAGAGTTTTTGGAACGATTGGCCTTTTTTTCTCCTTTTCTCGTTGGACTAATAAATTTATCTTTAATAATTCATTATCTCATATCTAATTCGAAAAAAAAAGTCAAATTTCATTTATTATGCTGGTGTATTGGGTAAAAAAAAGTCAAATCTCCAACATCACCAAGCAAGATCCCCTCCGATCCGGTCAGGAGGAAGCCAATCGCGGCAGAAACCGAGGTTGATGGCTCAAGCAAGCACTCAGAATCCAAAATCCACGGCAGCCTTCCTAGATCCAAGCGGATCTAGAGTTAACCTCCACGACTAATAGCGCACCCTCCATCTCCCCATCCGACTTCCGCCGCAGTCGCATCAACCAATAACACGGGTGAGCCGTGAGAAACCACCTGTTGCTTACCACCGGCGTCCTCAAACCGAGAGGCATCGTCAACAAAGCTTCTCCACCGCCTTATCGGACAACAACTGCATCAAAGGGAAGAAACCACAACCACCGCTAACGGATGAATGGGCTTACCTACCACTGCCTTCACGATGTAACCACCAAAGCCTACGATTCAGATCCAAAAACAAACAAAGTTTTTTTCTAGATCTGGTTTTTCTACAGTGAGGAGAGAGAACAGAGAGTTTTTGGAACGATTGGCCTTTTTTTCTCCTTTTCTCGTTGGACTAATAAATTTATCTTTAATAATTCATTATCTCATATCTAATTCGAAAAAAAAGTCAAATTTCATTTATTATGCTGGTGTATTGGGTAAGGAATTATCTCAAAACCCTAATTAGATACATCATCTTCAATTCCTCTCAGCCCACGCCCAAAAGTTCGTCGACGATATTTCAATGAGCTTTTGTTTTGTTTTTGGATCAGTATGTGTGTAGGTTCTATAATTTAGGCCATTGCAGAATTTTGGTTTAACACTCAAGCTATTTCTACTTTATCCCAATGTAATTATAATTTGTGTTTCTTTGCTCTAAAATGTTCCTCTCATGTAGATTGAGCTGTCTCTGTAGACCGACATTGTCAAGACTGGTCTTTTGAAAGAGCTTGCCGCATATGATCCTGACTGGTACTACATCAGAGTCGGTACGCTAACAAACTCTTTAATTCAACATTTATTTTATGTGTCAAAGCGGTCATGCATATACTAGTGCCTTACACAGTCGAATTAACTTTAAGGTTTTGTAGTGTATCCAAAAATCCTTTTGAGTTGAATTCTGTTTTTAGCTTCCATGGCTAGAAAAAATCTACTTGAGAGGAGGTCTTAGAGTTGGTGAATTCTATAGGATATATGGAGGAAGCAAGAGGAATGGAAGCCGTCCGCCTCATTTCTGCAAAGCAGTTGATGTGAGTCAAATTAGACCTAAGACTACTCTCTCAAATAAGAGATCAATTGCAGTACTTTAGGGTCGAAATCCAAAAAGCTCTCGTGTTCATACAATAGACTAACATGTTTTGAATTAAGCTAAATAGAAATATTAAAACTTAAATAAAAGCAAAGAAATCAAATAAATCGGGTTGTAAAACAGATGGATGAAACGTCAGGTCTAAGGAATTTCTAAGGAAATAAATATGTAGTAGATCTAGCAAATAAAATAGGATTATTATTGAACCGTTCTAGAACCCAAATCACTAAGCTATAGCCAACCAACTCTCGCCTGAATTAACTAACTAAACCTAATAGCAGGAAGTTCCAACTCTCGTCTGTAAACTCATAAAATTAGACTAGCATTAAAATCAGGTTTGATATGTTCACAGAGATTCCTAGACCAACTCTCGCCTGAATCTAGTAATTTCTGTCCACCTAAGATAGTTCCAGTAACAGGCGCCCTCTCAAATCTAACCTATTATCCTAAGATCAAGTTCCAGTTAGCTACTCTATAACTAGCATTAATAACAAACTAAGGTGAAGAACTCTATAGATTAATCCTAACAGTTAATCGATCTACTAATTCATCTAAATCCCTTAACCTAACAAGCAAACTACTCAGACATGATCATGGTAATAGAAAGCATGTTATGAATAGAAAGCATAAAGAGATTCAATAAAAGAGATGAGTTAAGAAAAATCTTCTCTGGAGGAGCTCTCTCCAATTATCTCCCAAAGGGTGCAAGATCCAAATAATACAATAGAATGAAAGATATGAGATAGATCTAAAACAAAACCCTAAAAATCTATATATATGTTCTTAAAAACGTGAAGAGGTTTCTTTGAAAATAGGAAAAAGTTCAGGGGCGATTCTGCAAATCTTCATAACTTCAAAGACACGCGAAATTGAATTGCCGTCAGATATTGGTGTCGATCGACACCTACACTAAGATTGGTCTCCGGATTTGTAGCACAATTTCTCGGTTTTGTTCCAGAATGATCCATAATCTCAAAATTGGTCCCGTAATTGCATTAACCTGAAAAAGACTAGAAAAAAACTCTAAAAATAACAAAAAGACTTTAAAACTGAATCATACATATCATGGCTAAAGACGGTAAAATCTATGATATATCAGCAGTGGCGGTGATGCTCGTCACATTTGAAAAATGAGGTAATTTGCATATATTTGATTAATGGTCCTTGTCAACCTTGTGGTCATAATTTTAAGAAGACACAAATAGGAAGCGTATGGAGGCGATTTAATCATGCTTGGTTTGATAAGTATCCTACTTGGTTAAAGTATAGTGTGAAGAAAGAGGCAGCCTTTTGCCTTTATTGTTACTTGTTCAGAGATAATGTTGGTAAAGGTAGAAGAAATGATGCATGAACCACTGATGGTTTCTCTGGCTAGAATAAGTTTAAGAACATTTCAGAGCATGTAGGAGGTATTAATAGTTTTCATAACAATGCAGCCATGAAATGTGAAAACTTGATGAGACAAGGGCAGTCTATCAAACACGCTTTGCATAAACAAGATGATATCACAAACATTGAGTATCAAATTCGGTTGAATGCTTCCATTGATGCTTCTAGATACTTATTGCAACAAGGGTTACCTTTCAGTGGACACGATAAGACAGAAGAATCTGTTAACAAAGGTAACTTTCTGGAACTCTTGAAATACACTGCTGACCAGA